TCCCACTCAGTAATACATGTAATTGTAACACACCCTCACTGTGCCACGGGGGTGGTGTCACACCCACATGTCTGCACTCCCACTCAGTAATACATGTAATTGTAACACACCCTCACTGTGCCACGGGGGTGGTGTCACACCCACATGTCTGCACTCCCACTCAGTAACACATGTAATTGTCACACACCCTCACTCTGCCACGCAGGTGGGGTAACACCCAGAGCGTCCCCCATCACGAGCAGCTCGGCTACGTTGGGCGATGTGTAGGTGACTGATCTCCATGATTCTGCCTCATCAATGATATTGGCTGCCTTCAGAGTGTCAGTCGGTTCAAACCACACTGCAACACACACGCAAGCACAATTTAAGTAAATTCAATTCAATTCAATTTACTTTATTTACACTTATGAATTACATTTTAGAGGTAACACATTAGTTAAGCAAATTAACAGACAATGCTAATAAAATTAAGACTAATTAAATAAAATAAATAGAGGAGATGGAGGGCGAAGTAACAATTCAGACTTCCAATTAGCCACTCCAGTAGATTATGAACTAACAACATATGATGACAAAAATACAAGATAAGGAATATTATACAATATGTGAAACCTGAGTAGTAACCCGTTTCTTGGTTTACTACATAATGTATATAACAATTATGAGATACATGTGATATATTAATTAATTACCACAAACACAACAAAGGTTTGAATGTTGACAATGACAAGCAAAACATCACATCGATATCTGTCCGCGATTACTGCTGCAACTGTACGGTATTTCTCAGCTCTTTATATGCTAAACTAAGTGTACAATAACATAAGATGTACAAAACTAAAAGTTATATATAAGATTAAGATTATATATAAATAAAGATAAAGATAAAAAATAAGGCACATTCTATAACCAGCAGAGTATATATTTTAGGGGAAAAATCGAGGGCTGCTGCTGATGTGATGCATGGAGTTTATGATGGACAGTTTTTTTTTGATGGGGGGGATGCGACTTGCGAGCTAAATTTCTATAAGACGTTCTATATTGAAGTTCAATTAGATATGGATATATAGATAAATAAATATTGGCTCATAATGACATGACCTTTCCGCAGGAAATGTAACAGAGTTGAGGATCGAACTAATTGTAAGTTATGATGCTCAATCTGCATTATACTTTTCACTATGTCGGGCTATCATCTGTATGTTTTGAAGTTTGATTTGATATGGGCACTATTGTCATATTAAGTAGCATATTCGCAAATCTTTGAGCACTGATATAACACTGCTCATTGATCAGATATTAATAGTAATACCAGGACAGTCCAGTCAGCATAACTTTGTCATTTTATTTTTTTATTCCAATTTTATATTTTCTGCCTGGATGGCAACTTCTAAATCGAATTTACATCCTGTTCTATTCTAACTTGTCTAAATGTTCTGGTGGCACATGGCGATGACACATTGCATTGTTGGCCTTACTGCGGTGTGCTGGGTCGGGGGGGGCGGCACTCTCATATTATATTGCTGGTAGGTATGTTTGTTGCGAGAGGACCCGCCATTTTTCAACCTCACTATATTGCCGTCAGTGCATCGCATTTTCTAAAATATCTCGCTTCCAGAGCATTAAGCTTTTATGTTACCATGCAGATGCTTGCATTTTTTGCCGTTCGGAACCCTAGTTTTAATTTTCCCTGTTTCCAGCTGCATTCGTACCTCAGAATAGCGTTGAAGGCGCGGCGCGTCAAAGCATGATGGCAATCGTGTGTGTTGTATGTCGTGCGTGCGTGCGTGCGTCTGCGTGTTGTTGTCTGTGTGTGTGTGTGTGTGTGTGTGTGTGTGTGTGTTGGGTGTGTGTGTGTGTTGTGCGTGTGCGTGTGCGTTGTGCTGTGTGGGTGGAGTTGTGCGTGTTGCGTGCGTTCTCTCTCTCGC